CTCATCCACTAAATGGGTCATTTTATCATAGAAAGAGATCAGGTTGGTCAAACAACACCTGCCCTTCATAAATCCATGCTGACTGGGCCTCATCATGTGACGACTGTCCTGTACATGTCGCATGATAACACTAAGGATAATCTGCTCCATGAGTCAGCCAGGATTGTTGGTAAATGATGGAAAGTGGCTTGGTGAGCACTTCGCCAGCTCCCTCAGAACTCTTGAGTGGATCTCATCTGGCCCCATAGACTTCTGCACATTTAAGCTGTGCAGCAGTTCATTTAGCATTTCCTCTTGAAAGAAACCTTGATCATGCTCTCCATCTCCACCATTTGGTTCTAGAGGCATATCACCCATTGAGTTGGTCTGACCATTAAAGACTGAAGCAAAGAAGGCATTGAGTAGCTCAGCCTTTTCTTCATCCTCAGTCACTATTCCTCCCATTGCATTTAGCAAGGGGTGGAGATTCTCCCCAACCCTCCTTTTACTGTTAAGGTAATTGTAGAAACCTTTCTTATTGTCTTTTATGTTAGCTGCCAGATTAAGCTCCAGCTGGGCTTTTGCCTTTCTAATTTTCTCCCTGCATCGTCTCACAGAATCCTTGTAGTTTTTGTGAGGGACTAGCCCCTTCTTCCATAGGTCATAGTCTTCCTTTTTCTTCTTGAGCTCTAGCCAGAGCTTTCTGTTCAGCCAGGCTGGTCTTCTGCCCTTCCGGCTCGTCTTGTGGTTCACTGGGACAGCCTGCTCCCGGGCTCTGAAGATTTCCCTCTTGAGAATTGTCCAGGCTTCCTGGATCCCTTTGCCTTTCAGGACCAACTCCCAAGGGACCCCTCCAACCAGTCTCCTAAGAAAGTTGAAGTCTGCCCTCCGGAAGTCCAAGGCAGCAGTTCTGCTGACCCCTCTCCCTCCCTGCTGCTTCTGTGACTTCATTATTGTTATTGTTATTGTTATTGTTATTCCAGTGTAGACAATGTCCATACTTAATAAAACATAGATGTTGAATTATCTTCTTAATAAGCTTATTATTTTAAAAGTTTATTTGTTTTTCTTAACTTTTAAAAATTCATCCAGGAAGTTGTATTCCAGACACTCTAGGAACCTCCTGGACTGTTTCCTCACTGCTGTATTCAAATTCCAGCAAATATCTGGTAGATTGAAGTCACCCACAAGAACTAGTGGCTGTGATTGTGAGACTTCCCCTACTTGTTTGTAGAATATTTCATCTACATCTTCTTCCTGGGTGGGTGGT